GTGAGACCTGCAGTGTTGTGACTTTTCTCCTCCCTCCAACCGCCTGCCCCTCACCCCCAAAACTTCCCACACCTCTTCACCCCCCCACCCACCCACCCAACTCACCTGCTCCAACTCAACTACCTGCCTCTTCACAAAGTCAAAGAAACCTTCTGGAACATGGCCCCAGGAGTAACTGTATTTTCAAGGAAGCTACAAAGACAGAGTGATGCTAAAGGAAGAAGTTCTGATGTTAGTTGTACATTAGAATGACCTGAAGACCTTCCCAAAACTAGGCATCAAGGGTGGGGCCTAGGCATAGACTGTTTAACCTTCCAGGAGATTCTACATTTAGTCAGGACTAAGAACCACTGACTAAACCAAAGGAATGAAATTCCAGCTGTGCAACAGGATGAGACAACTAGAATATTTGGAGGCCTTTCCCAGAACTGTCAAACCTCACCTGGGCCAGCATCCCCATCCATCTGTCACCTGCTTCCTGCCCAGGTGGGTCAGAGGTGATAGCTGGCTTCATCCCCAGCTTCTCTTCCTGTTTCCTCATTTGCCAATTCAATGTTAAGCGTGGCTCCTTTAAGACCAGGGAGAGACTCTTTTTAAGCACCTATTAAAGCAGGTTTGGGAAAGGAGGATCCCTAAACCCTTTCCTCAAGTAGTTAATCATAAGAGATACAAGCAATAAGGAGTACACAGCCCTCTAAGAAGACATGAAAGATGTGTGGGTGGGTGGGTGGAGAGGGGTTTCAGGGCAGAAATGAATTCAGAGGAGAAGCATGAAAAAAGGCAAGAAGCAAAAACCAGCTTTGAAATAAGCTTGGAGAAAAACAAGTATTCTGACATATCTGTGTGGGGTAGGTAGAGCAGGGGAGACAAAGACCAGATCAGGAGGACCTAGATGCCAAGCTAAGGAGTGTGTATTTTCTCTTGGTTGTACTCAGGAAGAACAGCAGAGAAATCAGCTAACAAGGTTTTGCATTGTAGAAAGATCATGGTGACCTTACAGAACAAATGAGAGTCAACAGTGTGATTGACATTTAAGAACTATCTTCTTAAATGCAAAGAATGAAAGAGGGCACCACTGTGTTACTCTTCTGTGAGTTGGAGAAGTCCTAAACTGTTTAGGTAAAGAGAGCACATCATGTGACACTCCGAGACCATCATGCATATAAGCTGTGGAAAGTCACATCTCAGTATGGTCTGTGGTTAGGTAGCCGGGATCTAGAGCTCCCTAACTCAATTAGACAACAATTTTTGAAGCTGACTAGCCTGAAAGGGTTTCTCAAGTGACCAGCAGCTCAATACAACCGCAGCCTCCAGGTCCCTTGGTGCGTATGGATAGTCAGACAAACCAGGACAGCGATCACCCAAGCAGCTCTTCCTCAAAACCCCAACTACTCCCTCTGTCTTGAGAAAGGAAATCCAATTTCCTTTGGAGTCATCATAATTCACACAGTAGGATCAAAGCATCAAGTCTGCAACATTTTTTCTAAGCCATTGTTTAGTGGCAGAGGCTTTTTGCTGAAGTTGTGGATCTAAAACCTGGCCTGGCAGAGGCTGGTTCAGGAGGGCTGGGAGAGAAGCCAGCCTGTTTTCTGGACACACTCCCTGCCCTCCCCAGTAGATACTGCAGCCAGCTTTCTTCCACCAGGAGCTGACGTCCCACCTTAGTTAATATCCCTTCCTCAGAGAGCCCATGGGGTGATATGGAAGTCACGCACACAGATGTTTCTATGAAAAGGAAAAGGAAGTGAGGTAAACACCTGTCTAACCCATTCATGGACCAACTGAGGAAACTGTTTATTTTGAGCCCATCAAACAGAAATGGGACCTGGGAGAATATGCACCAAATGACCACCAGGCCGGTTCTAGATTTTTAACACAAAGTATTTGCCAAATATAAAGGAACATCAGCCAAGCATAGGAGCAGCTAGGAGGTAGTCCTGTCCTTGTGGCCTTGCTAGGCTTTGTTTTGTTTTTTTATGTGCCACTCAGGGGCCCTAGAACCAACACCAGCCAATAGTCTCTTGTTATCAGCAGAGCATAGTGTTGGAGGAAACCCTTGACAGTTCTATGCCCCACACCATGTGGGCTGAACAGTTCAACCAAAAATATTTGGCTGCACAAGACAACATGTGCTTTCTCCCAAAGTACACAACCTGGTCACACTCTGACCTTTCATTTGAAAGGCTCACTCAGTGGGATTAATGGCATCTACAAAATTCCTTTCAAAATTATGAAGTAATGCCAATATTTTTTTTAAGTGCTCCCCCTCCTCACTTCTCCAAGGTCATCACTCTGGTTATGATTATTCTCCAGCCAATTTATCTTCCTGTTGTTGCCATAGATAAAACTATTTTTAGAGTGTAACTGGTTTGGAAGGAGACCTTTTTTTCTTTTCTTTTTTTTAATTTCGCAGCCCCTGTTGGTTGGCATCCATAAATGCCTCACAAAGCTTTGTTTATCAACTGACAGAAATTACTCTCCCACCTGGGTTTTTTTCCCCTTGAGAGATGATTTCAGATAAGAAGGAAGTACACATTGTAGGTGGCAGCCGTGGGACAAAGAGTAACCGGTGACAAGCTGGACTGGCCACACTGCCCTGGCAGCTAGCTCAAAGAACTCCCTGCTCGGCGTCAGCTGTCATCACTTCTGTTTGGGTTGAGTGTCTAACCAACAGAGCTTGATTTCCCTGTAGCCCCTAATTTGGTAAACACTTTGAAGGAAACAGAAATGCTTTCATGGCTAACATGTTGCTGTTGTTCAAGACCATCATTTACCCAACATCACTGAGGAAGAAGAGAACAATGCAGACTTTACTTGAAAAACTTTCAACTTCATCGTCGCATTTCATGACTATTTGGGCTACCATTTTACTTTCAAGAGATCCAATTCTTGTCTTTCAAAAATTAACAGCTTTACCTTAAAGTAGTTCTAATATGCTATTGTTATACATACATGCCATGTTATAGTTTGACTAATGATCTCCCCCCCTTCATTATCACAATAAGGTGAATTACATTACAAATTCCTACTCATTGTGTAAGACTACTCAACTATCACCTGCAGAGGAAGGCCTCCCTCAGAAGCTTTGGGAAGAACCTTTCCTTTTAGCTTCCACCCAACTCTGGTAACACTCTACCAGCCCCACCCCTAACAACTATCGCTTTGTATGATATGGTATCTGTGGCTAAGTCTGCCTCTACGGGTAGCGTGGACTCCAATCCGTAGCCCTGCATCACAGAAAAGGAATTATAAATGTTGTTAAATAAGCTAATTAATCCTGATTAATCAATTATGTGAATCAATTAACAGCTCACAGCTTCTAGTCACACCCTTCCACACACAGAGACCGAATCTGCGACATTGGCAAATCATGATCAGAGTTGATAATCATAAAGGGGAATTTAGAACCTTCAGAATCTTCTTTCAGAACAAATATCAGTATGCTCATAACAGCCCCATCTGGTCCAAATCAGAGCCCTGAGCCCTCCAGTCTAAAGTATTTCTGTTATCCTATTCAAAGGGCAAAGCCTTCTGAATAGTTTGTCCACTGTGCCAGAAACCAAAGCACTTACAGCTAAAGAAATACACAAAACTAAGTATTTGAAAGAAAAATCTTCAGAAAGGTTATCTAGTAAATTAGTCACATTGCACCCACCCACAATATTATTCTAGTCACCCCACCAGCCCTACCACTGGAGGGAAACTTAGAGAATTTTGGGCACTCTGGTACCACACATGACCCTGTTCGTTCTTTCTCAATTGCAATGGCATCAATTGAGGGAGATTTCTTGGGAAAAAAAGGCAAATGTCCAACTTAGAATAAGACCAGGACTATGGTTGGAAACCCACTTGTATCTAACATTAGCTTTTTGAAGCTAATGACTAGATAATTAGGGTTCTGTGAACTTTGAGCTGGTACACATACAAGCAAGCACACACACACATACACACACACTCTAGAATCCATCACTCCGCCTACACCCAAGCAAAATACAATTCCTTTCTTCTAGAGCCAAAGAAAGATGGCATGTCAAGGCACCTACCAGTCACGTGGCTGAGACCTGTAAAAGCAATTAAGACTAACAAGACTAGAAAACAGACAGGAGCACGGAAAGGAACTTTGGCTTTGACTTAACCAGCTGGTTAGCAAAGCTCTGCGAAAACTTGATTAGAAAAGTCTCCACCACCAAAAAGATGCACCAAATGGGAAGTACTTAATATCATGATGAATGGATGAACTACAAAGCCACAACCCAAGAGTTGGCAGTGTGCTCTGAGAAACAGATTTTGGAAGAGGCATTGAACGAAGATGCAGCCTGCATGCACCCAGCACTTAACTCCACTGAGCATCTGGAGAGGTAAGAACAGATGCTGAGAAACAGGTGCTTCCAAAAAGCAATCTCCCTGGAGATAGGGCCCAGGGCTTCCAGGGCAGACCCAGCTACAACAGTGCTTATGTTCAAACCAGAAAGAGAAAAGTAGTTTGCATAAACCCAGTCCCCACATAACTGGGACAGTTCCCACACAAACTAGATCCCACACAAACTGTGACCAGGTGCTGATCTCTGGCTTGTATGAAATTTGCCTTGACTATGCCCACTTTAGAATCAGATATGCTATCACCTGTGAAACATACGACCCTTTCTTTCAGTTGCTGAAAGGAGGAAAGTTTGTGCGTTAAAGACATTCATTATCTTTGAGTCTCAAGATAGGGACTGTGCAGACGTGTATCCCTTGCTTTTGAAACTGGTGTCACCAAGAAACTTAGCTTAACAGAGGAGGTTGAGAGGAGAAGAAATCTCAGGGAATTCCAGGAAATCCCCCATGCCCTTCCAGCTGGTGTGACGGTCGTACAGAAGAGTCACTGCCAGGGCTGGAACAGGATCCGAAAGCTGACCCCAAGGTTGGGGGGAAGGCGTGTTAGGGGCCAGGGACCGTTTCCCATGCGCCCCCCTTCTAAGCCCCCAGCAGCTGAGTGGCACCCGCTCCCAGCTACTCACCCTCCGGTTGGGCGCCCCAGGCGTCCGAGCACCGCTGCCCGAAAGCAGGGTGACGGTGGACGTGGAGCGCAGCATCCCGTGGCGGCTGTGGGCAACGGGCTCGTCCCTGCGCCGCTCTCGGGCAGAATAAGCGCGCGGGGTCCGCCCTGCGTGGGGGCGGCGCGGGCGGGTAAGGCTTCTGGCTTCTGCAAGGCGGGCGCCCGGGGGGCCGGCCTCCGGGGGCGGGGCGGGGCAGGATCCGGGGGAGGAGTCGGGGGCGGGGCCGAGCGCGCCTGTCCAACCCGTCTGGCCGCATTTTCTTCCCCCCGCCCCCACCGCCCCGGGCTCAGACTAGCCAGAGGTGAGCGCGGTTTTCTCCCTAGGGCGCTGAGCCCTAGTAGGCTCAGTGCCCGGGTCAGAAGGCGCCCTGAACCCACTAGACTTCCAGAATCTCCTCTGTTGATTGCCACCTGCCCTTTCAGTGTCATGGCCCACCCCAGGAAACTCAGCCACACCCCTGGAATCCGAGTTCTGCACCCCATAACATTCATTCAATACTTACTGAGAGTCTACCATGTTATCAGTCCTAGCAGCCACCACAAGTAACTGAACCCTATCCTCATGGAATTGCAATCTGGTAAAAACACCCAAAAATGACAGCTGTCAGTGTTCTGTTTTAAGAGGAGATATAGGAGAGCACACAACATGGTCGTAGGAGTTGCCCCTGCTAGGAAAATTCCTAGTGGACCTAATGACTAAGCTCAGACCTGAAATACAAGTAGACACACAGGCAAAGAGTGTTCATCACAACTGCTCTTTGCTCAGTATTCCTGTGGGCAGATTGTGCGGCCCTTTGCATGTATCACCTCACTTCATCCTCACAACCACCCTTTGAGGTGGGCACTATTATTACCCCCATTTTGCAGGTGAAAACATTGACTCACCAAGAGAAGGAGCAGAATAGCAGGGACCCCACTGATTGGTAAGTGACAAAGCTAAGATGGACCCTAGAGTCTGACCTAGCACCTTGCTTTTCCACCCTGCTATCCACCCCCTCCCTGCCGCCACCACCACCACCACCACCATCCCTCACCCAACAGAGAGAAGAGAAAGTCCAGGCCAAAAGAACTGGCAAATGCAAAATTGGGGAAAAGGCAAAAGATGGTGTACTTTTTCGGAAGTAACAATATCACAGTGCCAGGTGTCAATGAAGTATTTTCCCTCTTTGGACGAGCAGGATTTTGAGTCAGCTCATGAAGAACCTGATGGGTTTAGCTATAAGGCTTGGATAAAGTATCGTAAGGATAAAGTGTTTTTCAACAGGAAAAGAAAACCTTTTCCTCCTCCCCCTTTAAAGTCTACATTAAACATTGTCTTGCCACCAAGCTCTCCAGGAACCCCCTACTCTAACCACTTATGCTCATAAACCTAGCAACTTTGGGGGAGCCTGTCTTCTGTAAGTCATCTGTGTCTGTGTGTATGTCCTTCCTCAATGGTGAGTTTCTGCAGTTTCTTCTCTCAACCCCCCAGTGTGACATCAACCCAGAAAATGCTCAAGGAATGTTGTTGAACAAATCTGCAAATGATCCTGTGAAACCTGCTCCATCTACAGATGAGGAAATTGATACCAATGTATATTAGTGACTTTCTCAAAGTGTCACAGCCTCTTCTTTGCCATCTCTGTCATCGTGGTCATCGTCACCTCACTTGTGCCTGCACTCTAAGCACTTTATATGCATCTTCACATCAAATTCTCATCATGACCAACAAGGGGCATATTGTTGTCATTCCCATTTTGCAAATCAGAAAACTGAGCACCAGAGACAAGTTAATCAGCGAATAGCTGGAACTAAACCTTTCAGTCTTCTAACTCAAGGTTGGCTGCATTTTTAATATACTCCTTTCCACATCTTCCCATCCACCCATCCTTTTAAAAAAGATCATTCCTGAACAGTATCCTCCCATCCCACTTCCACAGAGCTCCCTACTTGGATGAGTTTTGTAAGAAGTGACTAAGAGCAGTCACTAAAAGCAGTGATTACCTTTAAATAAAAATAGTCAAAATATGGCCATTGGAAGTCAACATGAGTTAAGATAACACATGGTTATCTCAATAGAAAGAGGATAATGACTATTATTGTTTTGTTTCATTGCTACGAAGAGAAAGGAAATGAGTGGCTGTTCAGACAGAGTCAAAACAAACTGGCATCGTCTGTGGTTATGATGGCAACCATCCACCTGACCACCCAAAAGAAAGTCAACATTTGCGATAAGAGTAATCCATGGATTCACCTCTACTCTATCTACCCAAGTCTTTTCATATTGTCAATTTAATATTTCTCACATTTTTTATGGTTCATGACAAAAGCATGTCAACTTGTAAGCCCCTTGTAAAAACTGGATCTTGTTTATAAGTCTGCCTGCTCAGCACTGTACAGTCATTGACATATTGTAAGTGCAAAGTAAGTATTGAATAGAATGGATGCAGAAATGAAATATCAATTATAAAGTAATTGGCTTGTTGCAAAAAAAAAAAAGAAAAGGTGAATGAATGAAGAAATGGTATTTCTGAGCAATATTTTAACATACTCTTTGTCAAGCAGACAGAAATTAAAACCCTTGCCCACCCAGCTTTTAGGGTAGGCTAGAATCTCCAAGCATTTGCCAGCTGAAGCAGCCAGAATTCCCCAAAAGTACCAACCGGTAAGGGCTGTGAGTGATGTGATAGTGCAGATGTCAGACTCCAGCTTATGCCACAGCTTCTCTTTGCCAGCTCAACACACAAGGAACTTCAAGAAAGAGGAGAGTGGGGAGACCCTAGAAAGTGGGAAAGGAGCAGGTATAACGACATGAGTGGAGGTTGAGAAATTAATGAAAAGATGAATTTGGAACAGAAAGAAAAAGTCAAAAAGGACGTCAGTCACAGATTTCTTTGAAGAGTTCTGGGAGAAGACTTAAAAAGGGATTGACTTTTTTCAAAGGAAAAATCAAACACTGAGTGTTTCTGCTCAGCTGGAAGTTCTCCTTGGTCTGAGCACTGACAGTTGAAAGAGGGCAGCTGTGAGAGGGACAGGGACAGGGCTCTGGTGTTCTTTTCAAAGTTGCTACTCCAGGCTGTCCTTGCGCATTGGTGATGGAGCAGTATCACTCTTTTGGCTGGAGGGAAGCAGGAGTTGTGACATCACGTTTCATATTTGATTCTTATCCACAGTAATGGTGACATTCCTGAGAGCTGTCCTAAATTTCTCTGCTGAAGGACAGGTCAGTAAAAACATCTAATGTCTATGTAAATGCCTTTTATTTTCTTGAAATTGGTCATTGATTGGTATTTCCTTCTACCATCCTACCTTCTACACTTCCCTCTCATAGCCTCCCAACTTCTGTTTTCAGAATTTTTCTTGCTAGTCTCTATTGAATCCTCTCTATACATATGCTCTATCAGCATCTACTCTGGAGGGCTTTATGGTGGGATTCATTACTCCAGCAAAGTCCTGAGGAGTAAGGACTATCATCACTTCTTGACAGAAACAAACAAGAATTGAATCCCTGGACAAGGACAGAGTAATTAAGCCAGACTTCTTGATAGTCCATGCCCACCTCATTCTTATATCTATGATGCTTTCTTTTTTTCCCCCCTCCTCCTTTCAGTTGTCACAATACCCCCAAAGTCCTGACTTATTCTCCCTTCAGAGACCAAACTTTCACAGTAGGCGGAGGGCACATTTCCAAACCTAGGGCAAGGGTGTTCTACCTTATGGATAAGGTAGAACAAGAACTACACTGCATATTCACAGGGTGCCTGAGAAGTACAGAACGGGGTCTAAAGATAAGAAAAAACGACTAAGAGGAACCCAACTCCCCAGTCAAATCATCCGGATACACAGAATTTATAAATATGTCTAGACAGAGTGGGTGGAACCTACTGCTGTCACACTCTGGGAAATATAAGTTCATTAAAGATAATCCTGCACTTACCAGTTAACCCATGAACAAATGAGCAACTGGCAGAGTAATAGTAAATCAGTTCGTTGAAAAAAAAACATACCAACGCCCACCATGTGCCAGTGGGGCACAGAGATGAGTTAAGACAACCCTTGCTTCCTAAGGCTTCACCATCAATTTGGGAAGAGAAATGTGTACTTAGCAATAGCCCTGATATAGCACTTGCTATATTCAGAGAACTTAAAATGTATGGACTTATTTAACCTTTCTGGCAACTCAGTAAGGAAGGTTCTATTATACCCCTGTTTTTGCAGATGAGGAAATTAAATCACAGGGAGATGAAGTGACTTGCTTATGTTCCCAATGACAGTAAGTGGCAGGGCTTAATTTTAGTCTCAGGCAAGATGACTCACATGTCTCTGTACTTGTAGTTGATCTACAATGGGACAGATGTCAGACTCAAAGCATGTCCAAGCACTCCAGCAGGCAGAAGAAAAGAGAATCTGTGCTGCTACTGCAGCAGAGAGCAGACAAATCTTCTTTGGAGGAGGTGGCATAGAGCTCGCTCTGAAGGATATGGAGGTAAAGACATTCTGGACTGAGGAGCCAAAACTGAAGTCAGAAATTCTGGAAAATATATGCTAGCCAGTTAAACTTGAACTCCGGGACAAGAGGGAGTGGCCAGAGGCCAAGTCAAGTGGGTTTAGATAGCAGGGGACCTTGAACAAAATTGAGACTGGACCTGCAGGTGACAGGGAGCTACTGAAGTTTTGAGAGCAGGGCAGTGGCATGATCACCCAGTGGAGGGGTGAGGACAGATGGAAAGCAGAGACTGCTTTGAAGTGGAATTAATAAAAGCATAAAAATCTCTTGTACCAGGACAGTCAAGTGGAGTAGAAAGAGAAAGAGGGGCTCTCAAACAGCGGGAAATCAGCAGAACTTAGTGACCCACTGAAAGTTGGAGAATTTTTAGTCAACTGGTACCTCTATACTTCTTGGGGGAAGGGAGTCAAGATGGATGGAGTGAAGGACAAGTGATTATATTCTCAGCTCTGAAGATTTGCTCGCATTAAGCACAAGGGACAGATCTTGGAGCCCCAGAAGGCATGCCATTGCCTTTTGCAAGTAGCCCGATGCACCTGCAGCAGGTGCAAAAGAAGGAAATCACATGTGTTTATTTTTTCAAGAGTTCATCTTGGTGACTGTTCTTAAGAGGAAATAGGCTCCACCCAGTGTCAAAAAATAATACCAATAGT